TTTCCCAAGGCTCCAGATTATCTGCTTGAAATGATACGGCACAATTGCAGAAACCATTATGCTTGGGCTCTTTGAAAACCCATTTTCTAATGACATCATCTTCTAAAGAAATAAACGTACATGGTTTAAACATTTAGGTACAATTTTGGATAACATTTCAAGGAAGAATAAAGTACTCCATAATTCCACTAATTCAAAGTGCTTTACAACAAGCAGTGTTTTTGGAAAGCAACCACCTGCCTGATAAGTTCACTGCACCCATTATAATATTTCATTTTAAATGTCACTCTCCTCCCCTACTTCCATGCATGACCTGAACTATTCTGCTATCCCATCATTTAGAAAGAATAAAGACCAAAGAAGGATAAGATGGTTCAGATGAAAAACAACAAAAGCAGTTCAGACTTTTAGGTGATAATTATAATAATTTCAGAAGGGCTTTTTGATTTGTACCAATTCACAGAAAATAATTTGTTATGAATGGCACATAAAAATAAGTGAAGCAACACACAGAGCATACAATTATAAAATTCTCCATGTCGGATTCTATGCCCTATTCAATGATTTGGAACAGTTATTTCTGAAAGAAAGCTTCAAAATAGAATTTCAAATGCTAAATACCACCTATGCAAAGCAAAATGTTTAATAAAACTGCTAATCTTTAAGACAGGTCATTTTTAGAATCCACAGTAAGTCGATTACAGAAACAAAGGGCTCTGTAGTCGATGTAGCTCTGCAGACAAGAAAGGGAAACCTGGTAGATTTTTCCTGACTGTGAAGACAGAACAAAAAATAGTCTCAAAGGCAATAGAAAAGACTTACCATTCATGCTGAAAAGCTAATTTTCAGAAACATATTGCTGCTAATATTAATCCAATAACTGCAGAAGTATGTTAATCTCTACAAAAATCAGTGCTCCAAGCTCGAAACACAACTATACACTAACTGGAAAGAGAAAGCACACAGAATCCAGAGAGCTTCTCTTCCTTACGGGCTCCTTCTGATGCAAAAATCTGTGAAGCACAAGATAGCAGTAGTAAACCAAAATCAATATTCAGCACACGGGTACTTGGTTTTGCTCATTAACTACTTCTGTTCTGACCAATGCTACCTATTCATGTCTAAAGCAACTCAAAATGGCAGGGCGAAAAAAGCATGCAAACACCAGGAGGTTTTTAAGATGTTCTCAATTATATCAAGCACTGGTTGTTTCCATGGCAACCTTAGACCAGAATTATCTGTTGACTTGTACCCAACTAGTAGTTACTCTAAAGCTTTAATCAATTTGTACAATGTATTTTACACATTATTTCATATTTCATATTTTCCTCTCTATATATCTAGCAATTATTCAGCTAAAATTCTCTAAGAAATTCCACAGTATTTGAAATACATTGGTAGGTTGAATCAGTTAGAGACCAAATAGAATTCCTATTCACCATCCGTCCATTTATAGACTATGAGAATCTGAAGATAATAAAAAGATGCAAGTGGTGCCTCTTCGTAACATGCATGTTATTCAAAGTTAAGACATTCTTTTATTTTGCACAGATTCATAAAAATATTTGTAGCAGCTTAAGAATAAGAGATTCTCACTGATCTTGCCGTCCCTACAACCAACACCAAGCAGCCTCATTCTCCTTTCCGCTCCCATTTCAGTCTTTCAAAGAGCAAAAAACTATTAAAAAAACAAAACAAAGCAACCTGCAAAAATAATCAAAACTTGGGTTCCACATAACTGCAACCAGCCACATTCCAGACATCTGAATCTCAGATGGAAGTGTGGCATTCTGCTGCCTACCATCACATCCCTTTTGCCCTTTGCAGCACCCCTGACCAGACTCGTGCAGTCTGTGCATTTACATGTGCACTTGGCCAATTTTTTAGAATAGATTCAAAGGCCTGTGGTATTCAGAGATACCTCTGTCCCTACTGGATTCTAAAGATTTTACACAACAAATTAATTTCATATGTAGGTCACTCTGAAAGTAATGCTTCCTATTTATTTCCATGGAAACTACAACAGATGCAAAGAGCACAATAATACTGCTTGACAGAGCAAATTCTCAGCTACAAAGCACTATTTTTCAACACAGACACCATCATTAGCTATGCATTTTCACCAGTGATAAATGACAACCTGCATGTTGCACTCCTAAAAACCTTTTACCAGCAGAGGTACCCACTATTGCTGTCGCCACTACTGAAACCCACCACCCACCATCTCCCTGTGCTCATATCCACCGTTTCACCTCCATGAATTTTCAGCAAGGGTCAATGAATATCAGTCGGTGCCTTTTGGCATCCATTCCTCATGGATGAATTCAATGAGGCACCTTTGCTTCACATGCACTTCCATGTCAGACACCGTTCTGTCAGACTGTCCATGCGATGCCATCCGTCACACGGCAACATTTAATGGGATACTGGTAGGAAGGTTTGACCTCTACAGCCATCCCACCAACATCCACCTCTGACACTGTGGGCCAACACAATAAAATAGGAGGCATCACTTTCAGAGCAAACATCGTACGTTAACTAAGCGTTCAAGCTATATTAGAAATATCATGTTCCATTGATAATAAAACAATGAAACCAAGGCATTAAATAAGTTTCAAAATCAATCACTGAAAACCCTTGAGGCTGCAGAGCACATGTCAAGGCTGTCTAAGCCACAGCAGTAGCTGACTGGCAGCACATTAGCAAGAAGCCACTTGACAGCAAACAGCTCCTTCACCTTCAGTAAACACAGTGTCAGCAGTAACTGCTTGCACAAGGACATACACAGAAACAGACCTGTTACCATGCTACTTTACAGAAGGCGTTAATATTCTAATTTTCTTTTTTTTATCAATTCAACTTCAATCCTAGACCTACAACAAAAATCTGAAAAGCTCTTTTGCAATTTTTTTCAGGAATGCAAGACAGGTTTTACCTTCACTTTAGAATTAATTCATGCTAAATATCTGCTATTTAATTTTAGTCAAGCTTAAAATTCCATAAGTTGCTGTTGTATGCATAGAAGAGTCGAGAATATTCAAATATCCATCTAAAACAAACATCATCACATTTCTAAAATTGCTTATTCATTAAAAACTTTGTAAATTTAATCTGCAGCCTGAATTCAGTGACCCAGTACAATTCTACAACGCTGACTTGTTAGGGGAGGAGGAGGGGGGTGGGGAACAAAAAAAAAAAGAACAAAAAACCCACAACACTAAAACCTTCTCCCTTCTATTTTTCCTTTGCAATGCTGCAAAGAATTTTCAGGGATGATGCATTTTCCCAGGGATACAGTTACAACTCTGTGCAGTCAGCAGCAGAGAGAAAGGAGAGAAAGGCCACCTCCCTCTGCTCTTTCTTCTCTATCACTCCTTGTGCCACAGTAGTAGTGAAGCCAGAATCCTGACACGTACATGTAGGCCATAGCCTACATAGATACTCAGCATATCACCCTGAAACCAAAGCTACATAATCAACCAATATTCAGCTGTTTTCCTCAGAAAAATTACATACCACCACCACGCTTAATTACTTAAAATGACATTCACATAACAGCCCTTTTCACTGTGTTTATCATTTGAATACATGGCAGTCCATTTCCTCATCGAGCATGTCAGACAAGGAGGCTGGCCTTAAATAGAGGGGAAAAAATAGTAGGGACTTATACATGAGCAGGTCACCATTTGCAGATGTCAGTAGGTCAGCAACATTTTTTTTTCCCTCCATGTTACATAAACAGAAGTGCTTCAGTGTTATTTTTTTTCCAAACAGTTATTTACATAAAAAAGAACTTCTGCATAAACAGAAGTGAGCATCTATTTTTACCAATTGGAAAATACTTTGGAGAAGCGCAAACTCAGAATTTATACACTTTCATCATTTACTTTTCCAACTAAACTATTCCATCCTTTTCCATCTCATTTTGGAGACCCAGATTTAATCTATTTTAGGTCGACACATTAACACTTTTTGTTTTCATGTTTACTGCCTATCCTCTGAGAGCAGATTCACTCTCAGCTCGTTTACTGTTCGCAGTATACTCATAACTGAAAGCAGGGATATGTGCAAATGCTGATTTTCATCATGCTAACACTGGTGTTAAACATTTCAAATAAGGCCTATTTTCAATTGAAATAACTGTGCTATCCTAAATCTATCAATGAACCAGAAATCTGGAACAAAATTATCATCAATTACCATATTGCAACATTTTAAAATGAGTATTTAACCACAGGGATAATAATTGCTTTGAAAAATAATGCATTGCTTAAAAAAAAAAAAGTCAATTCACTCACACTGTGCTATTGCCGAGTTCTCCCTTTTATTAGCCAACACAACACGAATTTATTAGCCAACAATCACGAAAAGTTTTAGTCCATACAAATGCATATTGTCAACTGTTCACTAATTCAGAAATTAAAGCTAGTGACATCCAGCATTCTTATACTAACACATCATAATTGAAACTAAACACAATTTTATACTGTTTACGACTGTATGGACCATTCTGAGACACCATGCAAAATTAAATGACAAATGACAAAAAGCCCTATAATTTGAAATTTAATCTGTGCAGCCACGTCTGCTCAGTTCAAAATTTAAATTTTAAAAAAAATTTAAATTGAATTTAAATCACAATTTTCAACAAGGTTTCTCTTTCTGCTGAACTTGTAGATTTATTTCGAAACTAAAGGAAGTAATTTAGCAGTATGCATTGGAGCGAGGGCTTGCTAAAACAAGTCACGTGTGCTTTAACAGAACAGGACCAGTTGAATTCTCCTGCCAGTCACACAGCCCACGAAACCATTCCTCACTTCCCTATGCATGATAAAATTTCTTATTCTTCACATTAATAGCTTATGATAATGAATTGTAAAATTGCCCCTGGAATGCATTTCATATTGCATTCAATTACATACACGGAAGTTCTTCAACTGCCTTGCACCCTAAAAAGAGAAAATCTGTAAAATAAACAACACAAAAGAAGTCCTACTTACTTGATTTGTCCCATAGGACAGCAAGTTCAGAGAAGTGATGGCTCTCATTTTCCAGAGCCACTCTCAGTTCATGCGCACTGCCCTTGGAATGCCTATGGAAAAGGCGGTTAGCAAAACCTTCCAGTCTCTGCAGCGCGGTGGCTGTCCCCGTGCACTGGGCACAAGGTACCTCCTTCTGAGCTGCCATCTATGCACACTGGCAATTTTCAGAAAGTCAACACAGAAAACATCTGAAAGGACGAGTCACAAGCACTAAGAGCTACGCATGTGTCTAACTTCCTGTATGCAGTGTTTTCTAACCACTGCTCTGTTCTACTTCCTGTTAAGAAAAGCTCTATCATGTAGTGTTTTATACTGTTAAAATGTCTCTTTTCCTGATAATTAAAAAGAATTTCTGTAAGAAAACACCAGCAACAACTGCTGTAGCTTCTTTGCATTACTTTTTAACACATCACCTATTTCACACTACAAAGTATTTCATACAAAAATACCATAAACAACTTGCTTAGAAGCAAAGATCAGAAGCTAGATATGTATATATATTTTAACTTACCACAGCCACGCCTGAAAAAAGTGACTATTCTGCAGTCCTTCCCATTTAGGAAGATGGAGTACTAGCACCAGTACTGCAAACACAACCACCTGTAATCTAACCACTAACAATTTGAAGTTTTCAGCTAATTTTCTAAGCAAGGGGGTTGCCTTGCAAGATCTATTGAAGAAATTATTATCATTGAAAATATCTCTCTCTACTTAGACCAAAATAATTTTGAAGTTGAATTCTATTGTAACATATAAACAAGTATGCATTAGCATGGAAGCTGGTCTTGATGATCTCTAGAGTTCCCCTACAGTTACCCTTTCAACCCCTATAATTCTGTGATATTTGCCCATAAGGGGCACTACCTACTCCAAAAATTAACCTAATTACTTAAACTTTTTTAGTAATAAACTACCAGAACACATCACATTGACAGGCCCTTACCTACTAGCTCATTCTCTCTCCCAGCCCTGAAAGCAGCTGGAAGGAGTACCAAAGTCATAGCCACTGCCTCCTTGCATTACTTATGTTGAAGTGCATATCTTGTGACATTACATATGGAGGATTTTTCATACACAAGAAATCTGAATATTTTCAACTGTAGAGTAAGACTAGAAAGCATCATTCTTACTGGCTCAGAACAGTGGGGAGATAAATTGAAAGTGGCATGACATGTTATATTAATATTTAAATTATGTAATTTTGTGCACTTACAATGACTAATACTAAATATTTGTGTTTGTGAAAATGGAAATACACATTGGGCAGGTTTCCCAGTGTATCTTCAGAACAGATAGGATGTGGTTTCTCAAAATTTTAGGACTATTCTTAAGTAAGATTGAAGTAGCTTTTCACAATGTCTCCTCTCTTACAGATAACATGTGCTGACAATATCTCTCTTATTTTTCACCACCATATTTCTCGCTAAATAGTTTTCAAGTATCAGCTGATACCCATACTTGAACATTACATAACTATTTCATAACAGCTCATGTTTTCAGATAGGACAACAAAGCCATTTATAACAATGATGAAAATTATCCTGGTGCTGCAACTTCCACTGGACCCTAGGCCACCACAGGTCCTTGTCTACCTTAAGCTTTCCTGGCTTTTCCCTGTTTTGTCTCAGGATCAGCACCAATTTTCACAATGCTTCCCAGGCTCCAGGCTAAACTACCAGAAAAAAAGAATTAGCAATGACCAGGGAGATTAGTCCGCCCCACTGAGGGCACAAATAGGCAGAATGACATATAATATTGCAAGTAGTGATATAAGCTGGCATAGCATTACTCTAAGAAATATTTACATCAACATGCCTGTGTTCACCCTCCTGGTGAACGTTCTTAAGTGCAGAGTTTTGCACTTGGGCCAGAGGAATCCCAGGCATTCATACAGACTGGAAGGAGCAGTCCTTGAGAGCAGCCCTGCGGAGAAGGTCCTGGGGATCTTGATAGATGAAAAACTGAACATAAGCCAGCAGTGTGCCGTTGTGGTTCAGAAGGCAAATGGTATCCCAGGCTCCATCAAAAGAGGGGTGGCCAGCAGGGACAGGGAAGTGATTGACCCCCTCTACTCTGCTCTTGTGAGGCTCCATCTCGAATACTGCGTCCAGGTCCAGAGCCCCCAGTACAAAAAAGACAGGGAGTTGTTGGAGAGAGTCCAGAGGAGGGCCACGAAGATGATCAGGGGACTGGAGCACCTCCCCTGTGAAGACAGGCTGAAGGAGCTGGGCTTGCTCAGCCTGGAGAAAAGAAGGCTGCAGGGTGACTTCATTGGAGCCTTTCATTACTTAAAGGGAGCCTATAAAGAGGAGGGGAATCAACTCTTTGAAAGGGTTGATAACTGCAGGACAAGAGGAAATGGTTTTAAGTTGAGGGAGGGATGTCAGGGCAAAATTCTTCACAGAGAGAGTGGTGAGGTACTCGAACAGGCTGCCCAGAGTGGTTGTGGATGCCCCATTCCTGGAGGTGCTCAAGGCCAGATTGGATGGGGCCCTGGGCAGCCTGGTGTAGTACTAAATGGGGAGGTTGGTGGCCCTGCATGTGGCAGGGGGGTTGGAGATTCATGGTCCTTGAGGTCCGTCCCAACCCTGGCCATTCTGTGATTCTGTGATTCTGTGATTCTGTTCTAGGGCTGAAAAGAGCCCCTGTGGAAATGTCCAGCCATGCTCCCCAAGAAGCTCACAGCAAGTCTCTGCATATCCAGGGGATCTTTCCAAGAGACTTCTTTATTTCTCTCACCTTTCCTATTTTCTTCAGTAAATCAAGCCACCTGTCATGGAGGTGTGTTCATTTTGTCTTTTTCATCTCTCCTGGTTGTGTGCCTTTTTTTCATAGTGCTGTAGCTGTATCTTTCACACAGTAGTTTCCCTGATCACAGAAAAGGTAACTTAGAAAATTCACATCACTTCACATTATGTATGTCACAAGTCTACCAGCCCTCTGGCATCAAATGAAGATATGCGAGAGCTGCCTGAGAGCATCTCTGCCCGCTGAAGTTCAGCGTTTTGAATGCCCCCAAATGGCTAACCTGGGAATGTGAATGAGAGACCAAAAACAGAGCAGAAATCACAATCCCCTGAGACACAGTAGTGAGCTGGTTTAGGTGAAACAGGTTATCAACAAGGGATTATTAAAAGATACCTAAGAGAAAACCTGGATTTGCCAGAATTTTAAAATCTCACTTCTCCTTGCAGCCAAAATTAATGCTGACATATTAAGAACAGCAGAAATGGTATTTTCACTTCTCTCTAGCCGCTACATCTTGGCAATATTTTGAAACATGTTTTTTAAGATTCAGCTACAAATATAAACGTTATGTGTGTAAATTATGGTACTATGATAAATGTTTCAATAAAACTTCTCAAGGTACCCTCCCAACACAAGAACGGTCATAGAAACAGATTGGGACTGCAGTGCTGTAATGTGAAAAACACAACATAATCATTTACACTTTTCCTGATGGCTAACCCATAAAGCCAGTGTGTGCTTCCCAGCAGGTGATCCCCAGAGTACATATTTCAGCCAGAGGTAAAAGAGTGCAGCAGTAAAATCCAGCCAGACTTCCAGATTCTCACTGAAAATGAGTCTACAATAATGTAACTAGATGGTATATTTCTTTTTAATAATCTCTGATACCATATCATTCCTCAGTTTCTAGGAAGCCAATCCACTCTACCAATCAAGCCTTAAAATTAACCGTTAAGGAAGACTACCCTTCTTTCCTCCAAGAACTTAGAAATGGAGGAGTAACACCATTATATGTACATTCTGGCTTTAATTGAATACAGAAAAACACCTTATAATTAAAAAATGTTTAATATGTTCCCCAAGTAAAGTTACTGTGAAATGTCTGAACTTCAAGGTAGTACAAAATGGAATAATATTAAACACTATAGCACAACTAAAGCCTTCAAGATGTCTCTATTTTAGTCCTGAGAACCAAATCCACAGAACTGAAACTCCCTCACACTGTATCAGAACTGGAAGACCTTCCCATCGTTGCTGATTATGAATATCTTAGAATCAAAAACACACAGGAATTTTTAAGACAGCGACCCTGACAAGGGCATGAAAGACAGGTCTATTATGTAAAAGAAATTTCAGATCACTTGCAACTAATATTTAGGTCTTAATTCTAATACTGCAATTTAATGTTTTCCTGGTTATCTACAAAACTTAGTCCACTTGCCTGTTTAAGCATGCTCTACTACTTCTTAAGAAAATATCATGTAAAATTAATCGCTCTTCTTTTCAGCACTGGCCTTCATCCACAAGTAAAAAAGACATATTGTGACATATTTAGTTCGTTCATAATTATGGAAAAATAACTTAAAGAAACCTCATTAATGAATAGTAATGACTTTTTTCCTCTAGATGTTAAGGACAGTTTATTTATTTGCTTACAAAACAGTTTGTTTGATAAAGTATATCTTTCACTTTACGCATCAGTTACTTCTACCACTCAAAGTCCAACTTTATTATTAACAAGAATGAGCAGTTAGTGTGGGCTCCTCCACTTATAAGACCTTGTGGATTTTGCTGAATCTTGCATCTCTCCCACTGATCTATACATTAAGTTGATAGAACCAACATATTTTAAAAAGATAAAATATGTCATGGTCTTATTTTGAACTTCAAAATACAGGATTTTATATTTATTGAATAGCTCTACAATTAGTTAAAGGACATGTAGTAAAGAAAGTGGAGTGTTTTGTGGTATAAGCATGAGGAAATACATATGATCTTTTTCCAGTTGTTATATAAAGCTTAAAAGAAAAGGAAATAAAACAAAGTACAAAAGTAGTCATTCAGTGGCTAAAAATTACAAGAATTTTATCAGAAATTGTGCTATTAAATGCAATTCATACTAGCTCCTGCCAGGCATTCATCTTTCAAAAAAGAATTATGGGTAGAAAAGAGGCAGAATAAAGGCTTCCTGAAAAAGCAGATGTAGTTTGATTTTCACTGTACATCCAGTGCTATGTCACTAGCTTGCATTTCTTTTTAAATGCATGAAAGGAAGTGCACTATTTGCTAATATCTTACAGATTTAATGGCTTTCCACTTTGAAACAGAGATTTTTCAAAATGTGTATCAGCAAAATAAACACAACTGATAACTGTTGAACAAACCTGAAAATTCACCCATGCAGTCTTAATGTAGGTT